GCTTATATGTCTGTCTATAGTTTTCTGGTTATATTCTATGTCGCTATTTCATTATACCTGATGATGATTGCTTGTGTTGCAATCGAAACGTCGTATGCTATTATTTAATTTATTATTTTATTTTTATACGTGACTTTACCGAAAAAAACAAAGAATAATTCCTGCAGTCACGAAAGCTCCAAAATTAAGATTAAACTTAACAAAATCATTATTTTTGCCTGCAGTACCTGGCCTTAACTAATAATCTTAACAGGTACATTAAGAGTACATTTTGGGCAAATTTAGCACTTAAGATATCTCTACTGAACAGACAATACAGAACCACCAGTACTTGCCTCACCTGCCAGTAAATGATCATGAGCAAACAAGCAGCGAGAAACAGAATGAAAACAGATAGCGCCAATCTATTCAAGACTTAACTAAGTCGCTGAAATTGAAGAACAAGCGTGAATAAATGCAAGAATATGTATGAAATACATGCCTTGGGGACAAACATCCATGTTGTAAATTATTTATTGTCTTAATTAACAGCAGAGGTGTTGGAATGTTTTATTTGTAACGTCCGGGCTAATAGTCGTGATTGCGATCGGTGCAAAAACAGGTTTACTGCGAGAAAAATGTAACAGCTGCTCATTTGGAAAGGTTATCACGTATTATTTTACTCGTGTTGGTATAACAAATAAAATTGCACCATTGAAGTGTTGCCACCTTGGGTGGTACCGATGTCTGGCCTAGCACAAGGACTACTTATAAATCTCAGTGTTCATCCTACAAAGTCACGTCACAAGGGAGAAACACAAACAAATAGACAACAAATATATTAGCATACCTGTCAATTCCTTATCAGTGCCTACAAAAACATATTTTCCCCGTTTTGAAACGGCTGTACGCCGTATGGACCTGAAAACTCAATTTCCCTGTACAAGAATACGGAATAAACCGTATAGGTTGACAGCTATGTATCAACGGTCAGCGAAGGAGCATTGCGCCAGACGTGGGACCTCTTGCGACAGCGTTCGCTTCAACCGCTCTCGCTGCCATTCATCGATGTCTCGAGTGATTTGTTTGATCCACGGATCACGGGTGGCGACCACCTGTTCTGCAGACTGAGAGTGAGTGTGGAGTCTGTGTGTTCTCCCCCTCTTCTACAGACTGAGAGTGAGTGTGGAGTCTGTGTGTTCTCCCCCTGTTCTGCAGACTGAGAGTGAGTGTGGAGTCTGTGTGTTCTCCCCCTGTTCTGCAGACTGAGTGTGAGTGTGGAGTCTGTGTGTTCTCCCTCTCTTCTGCAGACTGAGAGTGAGTGTGGAGTTTGTGTGATCTCCCCCTGTTCTGCAGAGTGAGTGAGCGGAGTTTGTGTGATCTCCCCCTGTTCTACATGGGTTTCCTCCAGGTTCTCCGGTTCCCTCCCATAGTTATGCCCACTCACATAACGTACAACAGAAACTGGTATTGGGTAAAACATCCCAAATCCTGAACAATTCATGCAAAGTTCACCAATTGGGATCTCATAAAGCAGCTATATTGCTCCTCCCCAACCCTCAATCGTGTTGCGGAAACTCGACAGAACCATCCCGAAAAAACAACTCGAACTCCTCAGAGTAAAGCGCCCGAGTCCGGAATCGAACTCAGGAACTTCCTTCCGTGATGCCCGACCGTCACCACTGCGGCTGCCACCCTGCTGCACTCTACGCGCAATCGGAGTGGTGCGCTCAGTCTCCACTCTCCGTCCTGAGCCAGTGCTGAAAATTCGACATTCCCATGAGCACCGCCGCAATAAGCCACACGTGACGGCTTCCATCGAGGGCTGGAATCGGGAACGCTGCCGCTGCTGCTACTGCAAGAGGCAGCGAGTTCGTCACAGTGCGCGAGTTCATGACCCAGATCAAAATATCTCAAGAATATCAATGCATCGTACGTAGTTTAGACAGCGCTCAATTTTGCTGTCACGTACAATCAGGTTGGGCCAAATATTTAGACAGTTCATGAATTGTCTATTGTGTCGGTGTTGAATGAATTACGCAACATTGAAAACTAGAAAGTTCCGTCTTCATCTCCTGTCAATGCCAACATCACCCTTCCACCCTGTATGTACAGTGAGGGAAAAAAGTATTTGATCCCCTGCTGATTTTGTACGTTTGCCCACTGACAAAAAAATTGTAGGTTTATTTGAACAGTGAGAGACAGAATAACAACAACAAAATCCAGAAAAACGCATGTCAAAATGTTATAAATTGATTTGCATTTTAATGAGGGAAATAAGTATTTGACCCCCTCTCAATCAGAAAGATTTCTGGCTCCCAGGTTTCTTTTATACAGGTAACGAGCTGAGATTAGGAGCACACTCTTAAAGGGAGTGCTCCTAATCCCAGCATGTTACCTGTATAAAAGACACCTGTTCACAGAAGCAATCAATCAATCAGATTCCAAACTCTCCACCATGGCCAAGACCAAAGAGCTCTCCAAGGATGTCAGGGACAAGATTGTAGACCTACACAAGGCTGGAATGGGCTACAAGACCATCGCCAAGCAGCTTGGTGAGAAGGTGACAACAGTTGGTGCGATTATTCGCAAATGGAAGAAACACAAAAAAACTATCAATCTCCCTCGGCCTGGGGCTCCATGCAAGATCTCACCTCGTGGAGTTGCGATGATCATGAGAACGGTGTGGAGGGAAGGACAACAAACTAAGCAGATAAGAATGATATTTTTTGGTGATTTGAAAGTGCATAGCTCCAGTGGCTTCCTCGTATCGGAAGGGAAAGCGTTCCGGACGGCCGCAGAAGCGCATCCGAAAGTGCCGCGTGAGCCATGGTTCTTGCTCGCTGCTGCTGATGTAGACGCAGAGCGACAATTACGTCACATTCAGGTGGACGGGGCGGGGAGGGGGGCATTGCGTGGTCACACGTTGGTTGTGACGGCATCTGAGCTGGATGAGCCGCGGTCGATGCGGAGGCCGTTGTCTTCGTTCGATGGCTACGCCAGAAGTCGCCGCTGCGAGGATGCCCGGAGTTCGCGCGATGGCGGTTTTACGCTCCTTGACGAAATACGAGCGAGGCGAGTGAGGTCGTGGTTCATGTCCCCTGAGGTGGGGGCACCGGAGAGGGGTCGCCCCCCCCGAACGCCGCTGAGTGGACCTGGGGCCGCGGCCGCCAGGTGGAGCCACGTGGCCCTTGTGGAGGACTCCCCTCGTGTCCCCTCGCGTCCTCCCGCTCCTCCTCCTCCCGGCTCGCAGGCTCCGCCTCGCCCCCCACCTCTCTCGTGCGCTCAGAGCTCCAGGCGCGCGTCTCTCCCTGTGCCACTCTCCACTCCTGCAGAGGAGAGACACAGAGAGAGAAAGAGGTAGAGAGTACGTGCTGCCAGAGCTGAGGGCGAGCAGAGGATTCTGCACTCTCCCTCTACACTCTACCACACACTCTCCCCTACACTCTCCCCCCACACTCTCCCCCACACTCTCCCCCACACTCTCCCCCACACTCTCCCCTACACTCTCCCCCACACTCTCCCCTACACTCTACCACACACTCTCCCCTACACTCTCCCCTACACTCTCCCCCCACACTCTCCCCCCACACTCTCCCCAACACTATCCCCTACACTCTCCCCTACACTCTCCCCCCACACTCTCTCCCACACTCTCCCCCACACTCTCCCCCACACTCTACCACACACTCTCCCCCACACTCTCCCCCACACTCTACCACACACTCTCCCCTACACTCTCCCCTACACTCTCCCCCCACACTCTCCCCAACACTCTTCCCCACCCTCTCCCCTACACTCTCCCCCACACTCTCCCCCACACTCTACCACACACTCTCCCCCACACTCTCCCCCACACTCCCCCCTACACTCTCCCCCACACTCTCCTCCACACTCTCCCACACACTCTCCCCCACACTCTCCCCTACACTCTCCCCCACACTCTCCCCTACACTCTCCCCCCACACTCTCTCCCACACTCTCCCCCACACTCTCCCACACACTCTCCCCCACACTCTCCCCCACACTCTCCCCCACACTCTCCCCCCACACTCTCCCCCCACACTCTCCCCACACACTCTCCCACACACTCTCCCCTACACTCTCCCCCACACTCTCCCACACACTCTCCCCCACACTCTCCCACACACTCTCCCCTACACTCTCCCCCCACACTCTCCCCCACACTCTCCCCCACACTCTCCCACACACTCTCCCCTACACTCTCCCCCCACACTCTCCCACACACTCTCCCCTACACTCTCCCCCCACACTCTCCCCCACACTCTCCCCCACACTCTCCCACACACTCTCCCCCACACTCTCCCCTACACTCTCCCCCCACACTCTCCCACACACTCTCCCCCACACTCTCCCCCACACTCTCCCACACACTCTCCCCCCACACTCTCCCCCACACTCTCCTACACACTCTCCCCCACACTCTCCCCCACACTCTCCCCTACACTCTCCCACATACTCTCCCCTCATCTCTCGAATCTCCTCTAACCTCTACCGCCCTGTCCACACTCATCCACTCTCCAATACAATTTCCATTCTCCACTCTCTCCTCTCCACTCATCGCCACTCTCCTCCAGTCCCATCTCCCCTCTCCACTCTTTCCTCTGCACTCTCTCACTCTTTGCACTCTCTCACTCTCCGCACTCACTCACTCTCTGCACTCTCTCACTCTCCGCACTCACTCACTCTCTCACTCTCTCACTCTCTAACTCTCTGCACTCTCCGCACTCTCTCACTCTCCGCACTCTCTCACTCTCCTCACTCTCTCACTCTCCGCACTCTCTGCACTCACTTGCACGCTGCTCTCCCTCGCAAGCCTCCCCCACGCGTGCTGACACGATCCGACCTGAAGTCTCAAACTCCGAGTCCTTCTCGCCTCGTCTCTCTCAGGGTTCCGAGAGAGAACGGGCGAGCGCAGGAGGAGCGCGAACGTCGCTCAGCTCGTCAATGAGCGCCCCGCGCAACGCGACGCGGGCGCCCGCCCTGCTGTGGTCGGGCGCCTCGGGGGTGCAGCCCGGATGGATGGAGGAGGACGACGCCGTGTGGGACGAGGACGCGGAGGGCGACTCGGCGATGCCGGGTCCTGCGCTGCGCGCCTCCATCGCGGCGCTGTACGCGGCGATCATGGCCGTGGGAGTGGTGGGGAACGTGGCGCTGATGAGCGCCGTGTGCCGCGCGCGCTCGCTGCGTAGTGGCCCCAACGTGCAGCTGTGCAGCCTGGCGCTGGGCGACGCCGTGCTGCTGCTCGCCTGCGTGCCCGTGGACGCCGCCAAGTACTTCGCGCCGCAGTGGCTCTTCGGAGAGTTCGGCTGCAAGCTGATCCCCTACATCCAGCTCACGAGCGTCGGGGTGTCCGTGTTCACGCTCACCGCGCTCTCCGCCGACAGGTGAGCAGGAGGGGGCACGGCCACCTCACCCGGCCACCTCACCCTCCGCCTGCGTGCTGCTCGCCCGCACACCCCGCGACGGGCGAGGGGACGGCTCGAACTCACTCCTCAATAGGGACGACTTGGGGAAGCTGTCGTCCAGCAGCGGATAGAGCACGGTGGATGATGACGATGATGACGGACGACGTGAAACCGCACCACCTGTGGCTTGCTGCCCGTGACGTGCAGCTTCTGGCTACCGCGCAGAGTGGCCGCTGGAGTCGCGGACTCCGCGGTGGCGGCTCGCGGCCTTAACCTCTGACCCCGCCACTTATCAGCAGTGTTATTTGGTTTAACACAGAGCAGCAGCAGTAGGAGGGCTCTCGCGACCAATAATGTCCATAATAAAAGTATGGTTTGTTAGATTACGTAGATATAAACATGTCGTTAACCCACCAACCACCACCACCACCACCCGACAGTCAATTAGTAAGGTCTGCCACGTAAACAAAACGTGCCAATTCGTGACTACTTCAGCATCACCGGCGTGTTGGAGAGTCAACCCACAAACACACCGCTCTGCTGAACTTGCGGCTAATTGTCAAGTTTTGTTTACGTGACAAACCTCACTGATTGGCTGTGACAGGTGGTGGTGAGTTAACGACGTATTTATATTGACGGGATTTCAACACAGTTGACGAGCACAGACGCAAAGGCGGAAAATGTCAAACGGCCAGCTACAAACAGCAGTGTCGTAGATGTAACAACTACAAGTGTTGCTCACGCGTTGCTTGAATGTAACCTTATGGCGGGACCCCGGGGTCCCATAAGCGCCTGGCTCTCGCATAAACTGCGTTGCGACGTCATTCTGTGTCTGTTGAAGGCGAACGACACGACGATCTGTTCCTCTCGACGAGCTCTACTCGATGCGCTGATCAAACGTAATAGAGGGTTGTTGGGTTAGATCGCGTAAATATATAAATGTGTCGTTAAAACCCGCCACCACCCGACACAGCCAACGAGTAAGGGTTGTTACGTAAACAGAACGTGCCAATTTGTCACTAGTACAGCACTAGTGTATAGTGTAGTGTATAGTGCAGTGTTTAAGTGTAGTGTATAGTGTAGTATATAGTGTAGTGTATAGTGTAGTGTATAGCGTAGTGTACTAGTACAGTACACCGGTGTGTTGGGGAGCCAAGCCACAACATTTACAATCTGAGTACGACGTTTCGTCAGTAATTACAACTAGCTTCATCAGGCGACAGCCAGTCTTGTGGAGAAGTCCACCTGTTTCGTCCCTTATATAGAGGCGTAGATGTGGTGACCACGCTTCTGCGCTCTTGCACAATGTGTGTGTGTGTGGGGGGGGGGATTACACGTTCGATTCCCGCTTACGGCCAACGCCAGTGACAATTATCTGAACCGATCATGGGCCTCCCCTAGGTCAATTGAGTGCCTCGTGCGGTGTGTAAACATCACCACTCGGGAAACAAAGGCGACCGTGCGTGTTGCTGGCCACCCACCCCCTCGTGTGCCGTACCGGCCTTTATAGGTTCTCGCCAACGGCACATGCTTCTGCAGTCTGCCAATGCGATACAGGGATTTTTGTCTTTGTGAGTGGATAAGAGAATGAGTGCGTTGTAGTGACCGGCAGTGCGGTGGTGGTTGAACAAAGCGTGGATGTTCGTCTGAGTCCTCAACATGGGCGTAGGAATTCACGAGCGAAGTTCACGGGAAAGTGACCGCGGCAGTAGCAGCGATAGAGGAGTGACCAGGAGGCGCCTGACCAGTTACACCTTCGAATACAATTGTGCATTACGTTTCTAATTTTCTGAGGATGGTCGTGGTACCTGTTTCTGTGAAGAGCCGAGTCGACTTCTATTTGTATTTTACTAGGTCAGGCCCACTGAGCTATGCAGCTCATTTTATGAAGCGATCGGGCCACAAATGATAGCTCAACGAAGTAGATTATCGTGTGGAAATGTCTAGCAGCCAAATACTGTAAATGCGTGACGTTGATGATAAATGTGGAGGAAAAACCCGGAGGACCCGGAGAAAAATCTACGCAACCACGTGGGAGAGAGACAGAGACACCGCAAACTCCAAATATACAGCAGCAGGCGCCAGGGTCAGGATCGAACCCTCGTTCTTCTGTGCACCAGGCGAGGTAGTTAACATCTCGCCACTCGTCGGGCGCGACGCGGCCTCGTGTGGCCGAGCGCGCTCCTTGCGGCTACCCTCCACGCGGTGACACCGGTCGGTGTCACCGTGGCAGCAACAGCAGCAGTCGTAGCAGCCATAGAAGAGTACATTGCGCGTGGCGTTCCTTGAGGTCACGATCGGCGATCAGGATGTCGCCAGTTTCTGGGTGTGCACGCGTGAGCGGTGGAGATTCTGCTGCGCTCAGCGAGGAGGTACGGAGGGAGGGAGGGAGCATCGCTCCTGATGATGATGATGGTGGTGGCGCGCATCAGGGCGCACAGCCGCCCTCAGCCCCATCGGGCAGCTGCTGCGACCCTCCCGTCCCGCCAACACGGGGACGGTCATTGTCGAGCAGGAAGAGAGGAATACCAAAAAACCTCACAATGTGTGTTAATGACGGCCCCTCAAGGTCAATGATGCCCCCCCCTCATCCCCAGCGCGTTTGGGAGATGCCCTCGCACCACGAGGTTAATTGGCCCTTGAAGCTATAACCTTGCAGTCCCACGGAGCAGAATAATGCGAGCACTAAGAATGTCCGGCCTGTTAATCCACCCCACCAACTTGCACTGTTTCTGTGATTATCTCGAGGTGCGACGATGCGTGGTGTGTACGTTGGGGTGGGGGTCCACTCAGCCCATTATCATCATTCCTTTCTCCGGGGTCGATAAATGAGTACCAGTTGGTGTGGGGAAGATCAACAGCGGTTTTATTGATGGGCTACCTCCATCCTGTCATAGGAATGTGGAATTTGCACCACTGGCTCTGCAAGGCTGTGAACGGGAGACGAGCAGGAATGCCTCAATGCTTATGATGCGATGTTGTCGAGTGATGGGGTGGAGTGATAGTGCAATGCGATGTTGCAGAGTGATGGTGTGGAGTGATGTTGCGGAGTGATGGTGTAGAGTGATGTGGCGGAGTGATGGTGTGGAGTGATGTTGCGGAGTGATGGTGTGGAGTGATGTTGCGGAGTGATGGTGTGGAGTGATGTGGCGGAGTGATGGTGTGGAGTGATGTTGCGGAGTGATGGTGTGGAGTGATGTTGCGGAGTGATGGTGTGGAGTGATGTGACGGAGTAATGGTTTGAACAGATGGTGTGATGGGCCTCTGGACCATTTCAGCATGTTGAATGTATAGTATATCGACCTATCATTGTTTAGCAAGCGCTTCGTAGCAATATCCTATTGTCCACCGAGTTACCAGAGTTGCCTTTGGTGAATGCGTTGCTAAACTCAACATGTGTATTGTAGTTTACCAGGTAAGGTCCACTGAGCTATTGTAGCGATCTGGCCACAAATGATAGCTCAACGAAGTGGCTTATCATCATGTGGAAATGTATAGCAGCCGAATACTCGAAACGCGTGATGCTGATTCTAAATGCGGAGGGACAAACCGAAGGGCCCCGAGAAAAATCCACGCTACCACGGGGTGAGAGAGACTTATACGACCTCCTTTCTACCAGGCGAGATAGTTAACATCTCGCCAACGTGGCTGGTGATGCTTCCAGAGTTGGCCTCTGGAGGCGAACGATCCACAGCTGCGTCCAATGCGGTGAAGACGCGGCACGAGGGGCGAGGAGTGTGAGGGGCGAAAGGCTAAGAGAGTCCGTACAGCGATTCCTCACAGCTACAGTGAGTTCCTGCTGCGCGAGTCGGCTCCGAGGCGTTGGTGCTCATCCACTGTCCACAGCTCGTGAAGGACCCCCTTGCTCGGGCAGTTGGGGGCAGTCGCCCTCCGGCAACAACGGAGGGGCAGAGGAGCGACACTCACAACAACGAGCAGATCGCCGGGCAGATAAAACGCAGAGAGTTGGCACAGCTAGTGCATCTGCCATTCCTCAGTCAGTCAACCCACGGCACCGGGTTCTCTTCTGTGACCTCCTGTCAACGAACTTTCAACACTTTACGTGGCCTCAAAGCGCACCCAGCATGGGACAAGCGCTGTGGTGACGTCACCTCCACTTAGTAGTGAACAGCGGTTGTTGTTGTGGTTGTTGTTGTAGTTATTGTGGTTGTTGTTGTTGACCAGCCCTGTAGAGCCGCTGGTGGACATTGCTGAACCCTGGTGATAGTTTCAGCGTAGGACAACCGCCGTTTATATTCCCACAAATGTGGTACTCATTCATTTGTTTTACCGACCCCCTGAGGAGGAGGATGATGATGACAGGCGAGTGAACCCTCCGTGCCAGGATTTGCTTGCTAGCCGTTCCCGCTCGTAGCAGCCACCGGGCCGGAATTTGCGATTTCTCGACACTGCACACAATGCCCTGGGAGGGATCGATCAAAGCTGATCGGTTACCGACGGACACGTGGGGAGGGTATAAATGGAGGCAAATAAAAGTGGCGGAACTGGAAAAGAAGTTTAATTGCAGAATACCCCCCGCTCTCTTTACCCCCAGCCCCAGTTTAGCTGCACGCCGATAGTTCGAGCACGCGACACAACGCCATGTAACGGGCCCGCCTATTGCCTCACCACCAACAACAATAATATTATTATAATAGATTTTCCCGAATAGAGATTATTTTCTATTTAGATTAGATCGCGTAAATATATAAATGTGTCGTTAAACCACCACCACCCGACACAGCCCACTTAGTAAGGTTTGTCACGTAAACAAAACGTGCCAATTTGTTACTAGTTCAGCACACCGTTTGTGTTGGAGAATAAACCCACAAACATTTTCAATCTCAGTACAACCACCCAAGAGACCTCTATTATGGATAATGTTGGTCGCGAAAGCCTACTACGTGTTCAATAATACATACAATTTCTGAATATTGCATCGAGAAGGAAAGTGAGATAAGTAGCGATCCGCACGCTTCTGCAGAGACCCGGCAGAGAGAGGGGGGTGGGGGGGGGGTCTCGGAGGGGTCGTGTGGAAAGGGTGGAATGTGGAATTCCTCCCCAGGAGCTCGAGAATGCCGATGGAGAGATGTGGCTCTTTATCCAGATCTACGACGTCAAGGAAGACGAATGCACGCCGCAGTAAAACACAAAATCCAGACCACGAAAACAAACCCACGAGAGACGGCGGCGGAAATGAGCACATATTGTCGACTCTAGCGTGGCTCCTGCTCTGAGCCGGAATGGTCTGGGGGGAGGGGGCATTGTGTTTGCATTGTGGCTCAGCGTGCACAACTAACACTCTCTCCAGGTGGATAAAGTAAGTACCGCTGAGTGTCAAGTCAATAATAATAATACGAGTACAATTGCTATTCACACCACTCGGATAGCGCAAGGCCATCACGAAGGCGCCGAGTTAGTGAGTGACTTGGCGAATTATAATGAGAACGAATGAATAAGTGCGTGGTGAGGGGGTGAGGGAGCGAGTGAGTGGGTGAGGGTGGCCACCTTTTCCATCAACCAAAACCGGGACGTATTTCTCAGGCAGCATCTACCAACACTGCGCGGTCTTACTGTCACATTGAAGCTCAACTCAATACCGCTACCAGATCTCGATACCCATCCTGCCACCCGCTCGCCAACACCATCCCGTTCGCCACGCCATCGCACAGATGGCAGACGCAACTTTGCTCCGTGCGTGGTGCCGGGTTGGCTAAGCCCATCATCCCTCCAGGGTCGACCCAAATAAATACCACTTGGTGGGGGGAAGTCAACGGTGGTTGTCCTGTGGATAAACTCCAGTCATGGAAATGTGGAATGTACACACCCCCGCAGGTACAGGGCGATCGTGAAGCCCATGAAGCTGCAGCGAGCCGCGCCGCGCCACGCTCTGCGCCGCGCCCTGGCGCGCGCCGCCCTCATATGGGCACTGGCGCTCGCCCTGGCGCTGCCCGACGCCGTCCTCTCGCACGTCCACGTCTTCCACCTGGACGACGACGACACCGCCGTCGTGGACATTGAGGAGGAGCCGCGGACGGGCGACTTCGCCTCGGGCGACGGCGGCGACGCGGCGGGGGCGGCGACGGCCCCCCACGGTCACACGCTGCTCGTCTGCGTGCCCTTTCCCGCTGGACGGCGATGCGCAGCCGCTGCGCATCCATGCGTCGCTCCTCTTCCTCGCCTACTACGCGCTGCCGCTGTGCGCTATCTGCGGCTACTACTACCACATCGCGCGCGCGCTCCTAGCCAGCGCGCGCGAGCTGCCGGGGGAACGCGGAGGCGGCGGTGGAGAGCACGCGTGGAGACAGGTGCCCGCTCTCAGCGCTCTCACTCCTCCGTTAGGGTTGTTGCACCGCCACAGGGCGGCAGGGTGTAGTGGCGGTGGTGGTGGTGATGGCGAAGTGGTGACACTGGCGCCTCCTCTCGCAAGATAGGCCCTGGGTTCGATTCCCTACTCGGGTGCTTTACTGTGTGGAGTTTGTATGTTCTCCCTCTGTTCCGCGTGGGTTTCCTCCATGGTTCTTCAGTTTCAATAGCTAAAACATCTAAAGTATTTGGTATTGGCCAAACATCAGTTGCCTGCTAATGCCTAAAGTCGGATTACACGAAGCAACATTGCCCCAACCCGGGAAACGTGGCAGGACCCTCCTGAGCGTGCGTCTGGGGTGGTGGTCCTGTATGGATGAGCTCAATGCGCGGCCCTGCAACTTCTTACATAACACTTTTATCTATTCCATCAAGGTCCTTAATATCTTCTGATCTCCATCTGCTCAGCACTCCCAGGTCAGGTTGCGCTCTTTTGGTGATCGGTGAGCGTGGCACCAACGCTATGGAACGCCTTGGCACTTTAAATCAGGCAATCGAAGTTGGTAGATACACTTGTCTGTTTTGAAGCCCCATCTCTTGAAAGTGGCCTTCCCTCTTTAGTTTGGTCGGTTGCCACTGGTTCTATTTTAGTTTCCTGATTTTTATGCATTGCGCATTTGGGATCCTCGGATAGAATTCGCATGAGACATTTGAATGATTATTCTTGCTCACGCCTCTGGTGGTGGAAGGGAGTCCAATGGACTCAAACTCGAGCTCCAGAGACCGCGCTATGAGAGCAGAGGTTCTCAACCGGGGGTACGCGGATCCCTGGGGGTGCGTGAGTTAATGTTGAATAATAATGTTGAATGAATCTGCCAATATAAAATAACTACGATAAAATGTAAATCCATATGTAACCTAGAACTATATAAATACCTTTCTAAACTCATTAATCGTAAACAAAGTTGCTTCCAAGAGTAGCCAGCGAACAAATTGCGTGATGCATGCAGAGCGTCTGTTGATTTGTTTCATTCGCTTGCAGTTACTCACTAGTTAGGATATCTCACAAAATCGACAATTGGTTAAAATATCTACGTTCATTATTCATGCATTTATTGCCTCAGAACCATGTTGGATCAGTTGAAGGGGGTACGCGGTTGAAACAAAATTCAACAAAGGGGGTAACAGCAGTAGCCAAACAAGTTGAGAACCACTGTTGTAGGGGGTGTTTTGGACCTCATATTCCACGTTCGCCAGATGTATATATTGTCTATATATATGGTGTGTGTGTAGTGATGCACTCACAGACACTAGGAGGAGGAGGCACTCTATTTATTAACAGCCTTAACAGGTTACAAAGGTAACTACAGCTCCCAGTCAGGGCAGCTGGCAGACTGCCTGACTGACGACGCCGAGATGGTGACGACGCAGACGAAGACTCCAGCAGCGCGACGGGATCCCACTCCAGGCAACAGCCCCGAGTCTTCGCTCGGGGTCCCCTTTTATCCTCCCAGCGTGGCCTCGCTCCGCCCGGCCACGCCCCCCTTCCAGAACCTACTCGCGGTTTCCCGGGCTTACCTCACGTGCCCCTTCAATCACCTTTCCCCTACATCCCTCTCTCTGGCTTATCACGTGACCTGCTGTCAGACAGGGTTGCTGCTGCAACCGCAGATCCCCTTCTCTGCCAGCAACCAGCGCTATGCTCCGTAGTGTCATGTCACTACATCTTCTTCTATATATATAAAAGGGAAATTTGTGATTACGTGTGTCTGTTCAAAATGTTTAGCGTACTTCCCGACATGCAACAAACTTGAAATTTGCCATGTGGGTACTTTCCAAACTGTGCACCATGCAAAAATTATAAAAATACACTTTTGTTTTTTTTTTGGGGGGGGGGGGGGGGCGCAATAATGCACGGCAAGTGAACTGTGACGTCACATCTCTGTCATGTGACCCGCGCATGCGCAGTGGTTAGCGCGCTGCGCTACGAACCTGGCGACCCGAGGTCGATTCCCGCTCACGGCCACCACCAGTGACGATTATTTGAACCGGTCCTGGGCCTCCCGTAGGTCGACTCAGCCTCAAACGAGTAACTGGTGTGGTGTGTGAACATCGCCACTGGGGAGACAAAAGCGGCCGGGCATGGTGAATCTAAGTCCCGGGCGAAGCCGGGTAGTGGAGCTAGTGTTGAACTTCTTTCGTCCTGCGCCTCCGATTAACACAATTGGCCACGTACGGTGCGAAAGAAGTTCAACACACGTACAGGAACATGCAGCAGCTAAGCGTGCTAATCGGAGGTGCGCGGGAAGAGGTGGGAGCAAGGGCGCAGCTCCCTTCAACGGGGTGGGGGGGGGGGCTATCCGAGATCCGACTGTGGCCCCCTTCTTTCTCCCGACTCACTTTTTACTGAAATAGCGAACGAATGTGTTTCACCCCGTATACAATATGTTAGGCTATTACGCTATATATTATTATTTCAGTTGCACCGCGTGTTGGGTTTAGAGGAAGATAGTCTCAGGGTGATAGTGATAAAAAAAGATGTAAAGGTAACAATACTTACAATTCAGTTATGGTGCATCTTGCTTTCATGCGCATGTCAGTCATAAAACGATCCTGCTGCTGTTCAGTAACAACCACCATCAGTAGCGCTACGACGAGATTTCACGCTGTGTGTATTTTTCGGAAACATTTTTTTTTCATTTGTAACAAAAAAAATTGTTTGGAATATACGGTTAATTGTGGGATATTTTCTTTTTAATATTTTTTCTCAACACTTGTATTATTTGTTTTTCAGTCGATTCGCTCCCCCCCCGTGGGCGACTGAGCCCCCGACGCGTCGCAGAACGCTGCCACATACTTCCCCCCCCCCTGGGTAGGAGTACCCACACTTTACCCCACTAGACTCGAGTAACTGCGGCGTATCCATTACACTGCTGAGGGGGGCAGAGGAAGGTGGTGGTGGTTGTGTTGGAGGAGGGTTTAAAGGATTGTCCCCCCATCTTTTCCAATGCGCGCCAGGAGGTGGTCCAGCACACGTGGGGAGGGTGCACGGGTGGGTGGCTGACGCTCGGCGTTCTTCATTCTCCCTCGGCCAGAGCCGTCCCAAGGGTGCGGCCAATCGGTCGTGACCGCCCCGGGCCCCTCGCTTTGGCAGGGGGGGGGGGCATCGACGTCGCGGTGCCAGATGTCATACCGCCGGTTTAGTTTGAAGGCGTCGGGGAGACCCCTGCCAGTGTGCGACCTGGCTGTCACACATGATAGCTCATCGTCATCGTGTTTAAAATGTGTAGCAGCAGCCAAACACTCTAAGTGCGTGATGTCCATTCTAAACGTGGAGGGGGAAAACCGGAGGACCCGGAGAAAAATCCACGGGGAGAGGAGAGAGAGACACGCAAACTCTAAATACACGGCAGCAGGCGCCAGGCTCAAGATCGAACCCACGACCTCCTGTAAACCAGGCGAGGCAGATAGCATCTCTCCACCGCTTAAATGAACACACCCCTTACATAAACACAGTGGCGAATATGTCAACCGGTCCTCGGCCTTCCCTCATCGACTCGGCCTTACATTAACACCTGGCACGGTGTGTCAGCATGGGCACAGGGAGCAGCTGGGCGTGGAGTTGGCCGGCCCCTCCCCCCCTAGGTGCCGTGCCACCCCTTAATAGGTGCTCGCGCACAGCACGTGCTCTGACCGCGTCTGCCGAGGTTACTATCCACGGGTGGGGGGGTCTTTGTGTTGCCGCAGGTGCAGGCGCGCAGGAAGCTGGCGCGCACCGTGCTGGTGCTGGCGGCGCTCTTCGCCGCCTGCTGGCTGCCCGCACACCTCCTCTACCTCTACCGCGCCTTCACCCCGGGGCAGGCGGCCGCGTCGCGCGCCCACCTCCTGCTCACCGTGGCGGCGCGCGCCCTCTCCTTCTGCGGCTCCTGCGTCAACCCCCTGGCGCTCTACCTGCTCAGCGACGGCTTCCGCGCGCACCTGCGCGCCGAGCTGTCTCCGTGCCGCCGCCTCTTCCGCGGTGCCGGAGGCGGCGGCAGCGGTGGGGGAGACGCGGGAGCCGCGATGCGACGCAGGCGGCGGCGGCGCAGCACGAGGCTCGCGTCCGTGCTGACGCGCGCCACGTCCGTGCGCAGCACGAGCAGCCTCGCGGGGGGCAGCGAGCGCAGGGGGGTGGCCTTCCAGCTGGGCGTCCCCGACATCGCCCTGCTCGAGCCGCACGGCCCGCAGCCAGCCGCGCTGCCAGCGAATGCGTGACCAGGGCGGAGAGGGCCGGAGGCCGTCCGTGGTCGTGCCTGCTGGGACGCAGCACCCCCGGTCGCTGCCTCGCTGCACGGCGCTGGACAGAAGTGCAACGTCGAGGAGGCAGGGCGATTGATGACGGTCGCCTCCCGATCACTCGCATGTCGGAACAACCGTGTGTACGTATGGATGTTGAACTTATTTCGCACCGTACGTAGCCAACCGTTGATTCCTCCGCCCGTGTTGAGGACTCGGTCTGCCAGGCACTGACAGCCTCGTCTCCTCCATGCAGTGCTTGATCACCACCCTGCAGATCACAACAACAACAGCCACCGCTTGTCATCACAGCGCCTGTGCCAGGCTAGGTGCACTTTGAGGCTGCGTGAAGTATCGAAGTCCCGCTGATGGAAGGTGATGGGAGTGCCATGGGTTGACTGACTGATAGATGCACCACCGGTGCACCCAACTGTTCCAAATCGCTGCTTTTAACCGTCCGGCGCTGTGCTCGTTGTTGTGAGCGTCATTCTTCTGTCCTCCGTTGCAGGATGCTACTGCCCAGTAGCATCCTGCACGGGCCTCCTCCACATTTTCCGATCTTGACACCCGTGGTATCAGTTATCAGCAAGTATCCTCAGCTCCACATCCTCATGTACCATATCGATCCATCTCTTCACTAGCTCGTGCCGTGCACTTTTAGCCCCCTCTATCCGGTCAAACATAAGCTGTTTGGGCATGCAGTCGCTGGGCATGGCAGAGGAGCTCACTATTGGGTTGTCCAGATCTTTTAAAGATATGTGAGCTTGCACAATCTAGCTTGGCTGAGCCCAGGATGAATCCTAGGCAGGCCAGACTAAATGTTTCCAACAGGAGCAGATGTTCCTTCAAAGGGTCCCAGTATTGCAAGCACAGGAGAAGGGTATAACAGTGGCCGAGAAGACCTGGAGCTTATTTTGGAGCGACTGGCCAGGTAGCTTCCACACAGCGTTGAGACTTCTGCTGCCAAATTAGAACTAGTCATCAGCACACTGCCCATATTCATATTCTATGGTTCTTTCGGTAAAGTCACGTAGATAGAAAAAAACAATAACAATAATAAAATAATAATAAAAAGAAAATAAAGTTAATAATAAGTGGTTGATAATTGTTTTTTTACCCTTCTATCTGGCAACAAAACTGACACCTTTTTACAAGGAGTCATGTTTGCATAGATCGCAATACCTGCAGTCATAATACAAACAAAAGACATAACTCTGATAATGTGCACTGTCCTTGAAGTTGATTGGTCCACACCCGAGACAGCTTTCCTTAGAGCCTAGTCTCACATGGGTTGGACCAGATGACGCCAAAAGGCGCCTTTTGGCAAATGAGGTTCCCATGGTGGAATAAGTGGTTGATGACATCTTTCCAATGACTGCTGAGTTTTTTTATTTTAACCACACTGCCCAGGTATGGGAACTCCTCCACTCTTTTCACCACTGCCACATCGCTCGTGGGAAGTTGAAGGGGTGGGGTGTTTGATGGCACAAACATCCAGGCAGGTGCTATAGTTGTGGCGGGGCTGATGGCAAGGCCATGCTCAGCTCAGGGTCTTCAACTCCTCAGAGTGAGTAGCAATTACCAGATCATCAACATACATAACATGGTTGATTAATAGGAAGCCATCCCCTGACCGCACTCGGGAATCAATCAGCCTCCCATTGTATGCATACCAGATGGAAATACCTCTGTTACAGCCATGGAAAGCTTCTCGAAAAACGTGGTCAGACACACCGACTCATTCACGCACCACACTGCAACAACAACACACTCACCCACCCACTCACTCACCGACCACACTCCGGTCACATCAACACACTCACCGACTCACCACACTGCAGGCCACCTAATTTCTCTTTCTGCTTCTTCGCTTGCATTACTCCACTTTTGAATTCCCTCTCCCGTTATCATCATCAATGTGTCATCTCCACCAGGCTCTTACAACAATAGGCCTGCTCAATTCAAGAAAACGCGGCGGCTCTTATCGCCAACAACTTCGGCAGCGCAAATGGTTGTTTGGCCGTTGCGCCGTCGTGGTGCCTTGTGCTGAGTACCCAGAGTGCCGGACACCCGGAGTGCCGAGCTCTCAGAGTGCCCATTCTCAGCCTCGCTGCGTCAACTCCGATTGCCCATCTCTCTCTGGGCGGCCGGCGCTCGCGCTCCCCAGCAGTGCGGACACATCACCCGGGGGCTCTCACTTTGACCACCCGCTGGATTTTTTTTCAGATGTCATGGCAAAAGAGCCACAGTGAATCATCCGTGCTCATCTCCCGTTTACAACCCCCGCGCAGAGCCAGTGGTGGAAATTCCTCATTTCTATGACGAGGGCGAATTTATCCACAGTACAAACGACTGTTGACTTCCCTCCCTACAAATTGGCACTTATTTGTATCGACCCCTGGAGGGATGATGGGCTTAACCAACCCCGAACCGACCAGTATTTGAACTTTTCATTGCGAGCCGCTCGCTTCTACCGCTGAGCGTGCAGCCGTGACGTGAGTTGCAGGGCGCGTGACAATCTGGGGGGCAGCGGCGCGAGATTCTGCCGCTGCTGCCGCTACCAAAAGCAAAGCGCTCTTATTCAGCGACACCGCGCGTCCGTCGCTGACCTTGAGACGAAGCCCCCCTCCCCCCTCTCCCCGTTCCAATTGGCAGGTGCGAATTCCGAGAACACGACCCCCGTCCTCTCTGTCGCGCCGCGTTTACCGACGTCCACAACCCTCCGTCAAAATGGTAATGAGCAGCCCGCCTCGCCCAATTACCATCGCACGCGCGCAGAGCGGCTTTGCTGGTGGCGAGCAGAGCGCTGCGGTGTTTTGCAACGCGGAGGTGTCGCCGGTTCGACTCCAGCTGCAGGGCACGGCGGGTTGAAGCACACTGGGCGCGGCTCTGAAATGGCCCTCGCCACTCCAACAAAGCAGCGTTTAAAGGCTTTACCGCAAGTCGGAAGATTTAGCTGGTGATGTGTGGTGGTGATAAAGCGTAGATACACGCAACCCCCACAAGCCGCACGACTTTCTTATTCAATAGTTTGGCTTCTCGGAGTTCGTTCGTCCTCCCAGAGCCGCCACGCCGATGCGTGCCCAGCACCAACGGCAGCGACTCGGTTATCCGCGCCATGTCCGCCTCGACAGTTGTTGCTGTTCGAGTCATCCCGTGTGAATAATCCGCGATGGAAATATTCAACTTTGGTTAATTTACACCGTGAGTTGGCCTTCAGTCGGCTACAGTGCGAGGAGCGGGGGGCGCAGCGCAGACGCACGGAGCGCAGCGCGCGGTGGGCGACGCTTCAACCCGCGAGCCAACGCGACGGATGAGAGCGCATGACGAGGATTGGCAGCAGGCTCATTACCAGATCATCACTCTCACGACGACCATGACGATGACGATGTTTGCCGGTGGTGGCATTCAAGGTTAGGGTTTTCCTCGAGTTTAGGTGTTCGCTGAGCGCGATTCGCTCACGTGCGTTGTTGTTGTTGGGACTTACCCAGAACGTCAGCCGCACGCTCTCCACCTTTGTGCACAAATAGTGACGGCCCCTATAGAAGAGAGGCTGGTGAGAAACCTTCGCTGTTGTTTGAGATGGGAGTCGAACTGGCGACCTCTGTGGATTGCGAGTCCAGTGGTGCTGCTGCTAACCATCGCGCCGCGGCAGCTGCCTTTCGTGTGGCTGAGACGACGCGGGGAGTGTCCACCAAGCGAAGCTGTCGAATGTAGGAACGCCGAAGCATCGCCGTAGCCTGCTGTAGATATTTTGTTGCGCGCTCATTGATTGTACGATTTCTCATGGCTGCAGGCGTCTTATTGGCTCCTCTCGTTGTTCGTGAGCCGGCCTCGTTCTGTCTTAAGGGGTAGAGCACGAGACAGGTCAAGTGTAATTTGTTCAGCCCAGGCGAGAACTCAAAGAGACCAAGATGAGTCTCACTTTGCAAGATTGACTTGGGCCACAAAAAGGCAAAAAGCAATAACAGAGAGAGAAAAAAGTCCAACAACGAAGGAAATCGAATTGAGAGCAAAAATAACTAATATAGATCGGAGCAAAAAGCAAAGCGCACCGTGCGTACCCGTGGGTAGCCTCGGTAGCCGTGGGTAGCCGCGTGTTTATGAAGCGCCGCGTTAGGTGCGTCGTGAAGCAGCGCGCGTGCAATGCCGTCCATGTGCCGTTTGCATCGTGCGATCTATAGATGTTCGTGGAGAGTGGAGTCTGTATATACTGTATATATATATGTATCATGGGCGCCACGGTGGCGAGATGTTAACTACCTCGCCTGGTATACAGGAGGCCGTGGGTTCGATCCCGACCCTGATGCCTGTACATTTGGAGTTTGAATGTTTCTCCCTGTGGTCGCGTGGATTTTTCTGCGGGTCCAAATACTCTAAACATGCGACTCGAGTATTTGGCTGATATAAATTTCCACGTGACAAGCCACTTCGTTAAGCTATCATTTGTGACCTGTTCGCTTCTGAAAAAGAGCAACGTGGCTCAGTGGAACCTAACCTGGTAAAATAAAAATAGTTTTAAAAACATAATCTATCATTCGCGTCTTTGTGGGGAATATACGTGACCAAATAATGATGCAGACAAGACGCCTCCTATAACGGCCCCTCCATGTAACGAAATAAAATGATTTTTTTTTTAAATCCCATCAGGCGCACGACTTTCTTAATCGACTTTAGCAAACACTGGCACCGGGTTCGATCATTCGGAGTCTCATCGGCAGAGTCAGCCTCATTTCCTGAGACGAAATTATCTGTTTGGCTTCTCCAATTTCGTCCGTCCTCCCAGAGCCGCCACACCGATGCGTGCCCGGCACCAAAGGCGCCCACTCGGTAATCCGCGCCACGGATGAGCGGAGTTCGCCACGACAGTCGCTGCTGTGCGAGTCATCCCCAGTGAATATCCGCGATGAGAATTTGTTTCAACCTTGGATCATTTCGACCCTGACGGCGGCGGCACACAGTGGCCCTTCTCGTTTCGA